ACCAGCGAGCCCCGAGCTGGCACGCGGAGCCGAGCAGGGGAGCTGGGGACGCCGAGAGGAGGGGCCGGGGGCCGCGAGGGGATGCGGCCGACGGCTGGGGGGTCTCTGGCACCTCGGAACGAAACACACAAAAGGCAGCGCCGCCCGCCAGCCGGTGGCCTCCTGGGGAGGCGCGGAGCCCGGGGCGGGGGCAAAGATCAGGGACCCCTGGGGGCGGGGTTTCGTCCTCGGCCCACACCCCCTGCCCGGGTTTGGGAGTCTGCTTCCTGAGACGGGCTGTGGGCGTCATATTGAGGCCCAGAGAGGAAAGAGACTCCGGGAACAAGGCTGGCGCTGGAGGCTTCGCGTCCCAGGCTTTGACGGTCTCGGTGGAGCCTGAGATGCCTGTGTTGTCACGAGAAGGTGGCATGCTGGGTCATTTTGCTGCTGGGCAGTTCTAGGCTGGCCCCCTGCCTGACAGCAGGTCTGCACCCTCACCCCTGAGTGCGTGAGTCAGTGGGTCCACCTGCTCCCTGGGCAGGGGGCACTAGCGGGGCTTGAACCCACAGACTCCTCTTTGTCCTCTTCTGCAGCTGCCCCCAAGCCACAGTCAGAGAAGGGAAGCAGGAAAGTGGTGAGCAGGTGGTGGATGGAAATCAGGATCATTCAGCTGGGGAAGAGTTGAAAGGAAGACCAAAGTCTACCTTCTGCTCTGTGCAGGAACCTTCCCTCACCACCCAGACGCAATCAGTCAAGCTTTTGCTTAAACACTTCCAGGGATGAAGATCTCACGACCTATCAAAAGGCTGATACAATTTTGAATAACTACCTTTATTAGGAAGCATTTTTTCTTTCCAGCTAAATAACTCCAGTTCCTTTAGTCCTACCTCCACAGTAGCCCTCCCACTGGCTACCTCAGCCTGTCACTAAGGTCCTTAACATTGGTGGCCACAGATGAACATGGTATGCCAACAGTCTGGACTCTTGCCTCCTTCCTTCCTTCCAGACACCATACTTCTATTAACACAGCCTAATATCACTTGTCTTTTGGGGTCACCCCATGATACTGTTAGTTCATAACTTTATGTTTACAGTAAAGGAAAGCCTCAGGTGTTTTTTGTTGTCATGTTTTTGTGTTGTTATCACAAGCTGCTGAGCCGATCTCCTCACCTTGAACCTGTATGGTTGAGTTTTTGCAGATGTTCTAATTTAGGCCTGTTACCTCACCTAGTTAACCTTGATCCATCTAAGCAAACTCTAGCAAGTATGTTGTCCAGATACTCTGTTATCATAAGATGAATACAACTTCCTTATTTTGTCCGTTCTGAATCCTAAGGACCCCAGAATTTTAGGGCGTCTTTCCTTTTTATTCCAACATCCAAAGGTACACTTCCCCCTACCACTCACACTGCATTCCTGTTACTTACAAAGTGCTTCAGTGCCCACCTTCAATGTCCACACCGTCAGAAATCTAGCCCTGAATTCTTCAGTGGAGATAAACATAAAGCCCTTCCTTCACCTGAGCCCACAAAATCTATTGCATCACTGCACTTACCACTCCCACCTAGATCACCACTCAGTAACAAACACATGCTCCTTCTTGGCCCTAGAAGCTACCCACAAATTCTCAACACATTTACCTAGGACAAGTTTCTGTTCACACACTTGTTACCCCTTGTGCCACTGCCTCCCATCCTCTAGCACACCTCAGCCACCTCCATCCTCATCTTGACTACCTTATGTTGCTCCAGCCCCTCCATCTCACCCCTGTGACTCTGGCAGGCTTTGTTCCATAGTGGGCAGTGGGCAGCTGGAATAACTGAGCTGGAACTTTGTGCATACAGAAAATCCTCAGCTACCTTCAGGAGGAGTTTGGAATATTTTAAGACAGAAAATCCTACCGGTGAACTTTGAAAGAAGCAACTTTCTAAACAGCCCTTGACATTTCTTTCATTTCCTGTTTCTCTGACCTTATGACATTCACCTTGCCTCCTCATGTCAGAAGTTTGCTTCTTTAGTTTGGTTTTCACTATTTTTATTTTTTTTCTTGTCTTTTGGTTTGACCTTGAGGCTTCTCAAAGTTCGGACCCTGAGAGTCACTCACTTAACATCATTCATCTTCCAGGACTAGTCTGGACCCTAACAGTTCTTCAGTGTTTCCTCCTCAGGTCTGTGGCTTGTGGCTTCTCGGTAACAAAAGGGACCCTCCGCCGAGGGTGGAGGATTCAAGTTGTTGTTGGCTGTAGAAAGAAGGCCTCTGGCTTGTGACCCTTCCAAATGGTCATGTGATGAGTCAGTGTTTCTATTCTCCCAAAGGTCCATTCGTGCAGAGGCCTGGAGTGAGACTAGCTCATCAGCGCCTACATGGAAAGGAGCCATTCCAGCTGGCTGCAGCAAAGCTCCAAAGGCAACCTTTCACCCCGGGAGAGGTGATTAATGGTTTTAAGAGGCGATGTGGGAGTGTGGCAGCAGAATGTCAGTTTCCAAAGGATTGCTGGAATTCAACCCGGAGTGACTATACCCAAGATCGTAGGAAACAAAAAACTGCAAGGACTCTGATTTCCAAAATCAAGACTGAGCCACTGGGAAGTAATACCCTTCTGCTTAACAATGTAGCAGGTCTCTGTGGCTGCAGGTCAGACCACTAAAAAGCACCAGAATAGTAATCCCACCAAATTCTGTCTTTCTGACCTTGGCACTTTATAGTCAATCCTCCTATCTAGGATTAAATTTTTTAAGTAATCAACAATCTGGAGACTGTTGCTTGCCTGCCTCATTTAAGCTGGTCTCTGGCGTGGGGGCAGGACTTTTCAATTCAAACCATGACTTGAAGAATTCAAATCACAGTGTTGAGTTTCAAGTTCAAACTGTGGTTTTTGAGAGATGATTACTTTTTCCCTTAAGACCCTTAACCCCCACCCTCAGAAACCCCAGGAGAGTAAGGGGAAAAGAATGGTAATGAAACACAAGAAATGCCCCCAGGGAAGGAAACTTGCTCCAGAAGACCCCCAGAGATGCTTCCTTGTTCTTTTCCTTTTAAGCTAGAATCTCTCAAAACCACAGTTTGAACTTGAAACCACAATTTTCCTGACACTGTATCAAAGGCTGGTCTTAAAGGAGCCAGCCAATATGCCTGGGATCAACCCCGCTCTACTGCTGGGACAGAGAGGCCTTTATTCCCACTGGATCACTGGTGGAAACGTGGGCCCAGACACTGACCCACAGCTGAAAGAAGACAGGCTCTGTTTGCTGGACAGAAGGGTGAACCCCAAATGTGTCCTACTCCTATGTTTTCAAACCTAAGGCATCAAAGGTTTACTCAATTTAACCAAAGGAAATAAAATCAGAATCCAAAGGGCATGTGGCAACAGGCAGCTGGGAGGCACGTGAGGAACAGCGCCTGGGGGGCTAGCTG